AATTAAATCTGAATGACTTTTCTACCAAAAACTCTGGAAACTTATACAGAATGGAATAATAAAGCACGACATAGAAAATATAAATGTACGTTGTAAGGTACTGATGGAAATACATTTCAATTACTTGAAACCATGGTGATGTCCATTTATGTACATTAGGAAGGATTATCCCATTGTGACAATACTTTTTATGGAATATATTACCAGTAATTCAGTCCAGTTCATGGACATTTTTTTTGTAAACAAATAACAGTCCTTTCTAATCTGTTCTAGCACATCTTCTGCTAACTTTATGCCATTTATGCTTGTGTTTTACATGTAAACTACAATAGCAGTAACTGAACACAACTTTATTGTGTAAAGAACAGAAGCGAATGATGCATTTCTGAACATTTGCTATGCATTAAATACTACATATTCAAAAAAAATCAATTAACATAAAAGCTATATATGAAAAAAGTTTTTCATGGAATTAATGCAGCTTGAAGAAAAAAAATCTTTATTTGGTTATTTAATCAAGAAATCAGTACAAAATTTACATCCAACTTGTAAAGTTTTTTTTCCCAGTTCTTAAAATATCCTACAATTGAAAGGTTCACATATGAATGTGAGTAACAGATTCAAAAATGAATTTGCTATTTTTTATCCTTAAACACAAAACACTGTAAACTAACTGGAATGCAACAAGTGAATTACCTTTTAAAGCCACTGTGTGTGGTTTTCTGCAATTTTGTTCATGTCAACTTTGATATAAAATGAAAATGAATGTCCAGATGTGTAAAGTACCCCAATACTGTCGGAGATCTAGATCCTCCTCCAATTACCTGATGGGTTTCTCAAAGCAAATGTTTGAGTGCAGCAAGAAAAACATTTTCTGAAACAAAACAGACCAAAAGGGCGCCCTTTGGTTACACTGACAGATCTTTCAACGGAAAAAAATATGAGCACAACAGAAGACACATCAGCATCCAAATGCACCAAACTATGGTATGGGAAAGCTTCCAGTAAAGTAATAAAGAATCAATGAGAAACTATTTCACAGGTGTTAAATGTGAGAACACTGAAGAGAATACAAACACCTAGACTGGTTGGCAGTTCATTGGAAGGTGCAGTACAATATGTTTCCAAATATAAAAACCAGGCCAAATAATTTCATATTCAAATATCTACTACTAATGGGCAGGATTGAAGGTTATCAGACATGTGCCCTATAATTTTCAGATACACAACACCACTGCACCTTCCACATATGCATATTCTAATTGCTCAACTGCGTCTTGTGGGGGGGGGGCGCACTATCCCAGGCAGCATAGGACACAAGGCAGGAGTACACTGGATTGGATGGCAGTCCATCACAGGGCACACACATGCTTACACTCAGTGTCACACACTATGGGCAATTTAGAAACTCCAGTTCATCAAATCACAAGTCTTTGGAGAGGCGGATAAACTTGGAGAAGTCAGAGGAAACCTCTCTCTCTCTCTCTTTCTCTCTCTCTCTCACACACACACACACACACACACGGGTTTGTAATTATATCTTAGTGGGGACTCTCCATTCATTTCTATGGGGAAAATTGTAATCACACATGACAACCTTAACCCCCACCCAGCCCTAACCTAAACCATAAGTAACCAAACAAAATACGAGATTTTTGGCATTTTTAATTTTTTGATTGCATTTACAGATCTTTGTAGGGACCTATAATGTCAAATGGTCCCCACAATATAATATAAACCTAATACACACACACATACACACACACACACACACACACACACACACACACACACAGAGCAGACAGTCAGGACTGTGATGACAGAAACTAGTCAATTCAGCTGGCTAACTCACCATTGACATCAGAGAGCTGATTGGGACCTGCAAGTTCTGCTGTGTCGGCTTGTGGAGATGACCGTGAGGTTGTCTTTGGGTCTATAGGTGAGAGATGGAGTCTGTTGGTACAAGATATGTCCGAAGGGCTTTTTGCTCTTTTTGGAGGCCATTTTTTTTTTAACATTCTCAGTGGGTGGATTGTGGATTGGCTTCCATGGGATGGGGTTACAGTAGCTAGGGGTGGGGTTGTCATGGTAACCTACAAAGCAGAAAAAAATCTGTAAGCATTTCCACGTAACATAATGCTCAGGTGTTTCCATTTCACATGCATGAGTCTGCATCACAGGCATGTCAATAAGATATAGTATTTGTGTAAGTGCCTACTAAGCATGTTCATTTTTTATTCATCAAGCATGTCAAGGAGAGAACATAAAATATGAAATCTGTCAGATGACAACAAACCAAGAATTACATTTGTAATCATGGTAATGTCATTTTTATGTAATGTCTCTAGAGGATTTAAAAATTTTACTTAATCAGAGCAGGAGAAAATCTGTAGGCTCAAACAGGTATTAAAGAGAAGAAAAGTTAAGCAGTAAGTAAAAATGCAAAAACTTGTATTTGTGAAAGAATAAAAAACGTGTTTTACTGTATGGTAAGTATTAGGCATTTGGGCCTGTCGATTCCACTTTAACTGTTCTATAATTGTACCTGTGAACTTTCCATCTGTGTGCTTTGCCAAGGCCGGTCGCGGTCTGTCCTTTATACTTATCAACCATTCCTTGAACTTCTCCTCAGATTTGTGTTTTCGCTCTCTCACTTCTGCCTCTTTCCTGGCTGCTTCCTCCTACGGGGCATGCAGTTTGGATTTGTCTGCATGGCATACACTATCCAATAGTGCCCACAATGAACATAATATAGAAATGATTACATATAAAGATATGATACACTTTAGTGATCCTAGAGAGTTTCTTCTGCATAAAAATGAGCAAACAAAGTGCAAAGACAGTACACATGATGCAGAAGAAATAAAAGTAACACTTTCTATGAATGGCATATCTATAAGAATTTATGAACATGTAATGCATTAGAAACACATTATAGTCATGTTTATTATAAATTGTGAATGTTCTATGAAGCTCTCACCTATAATGCACTACAGATGCCTGCATAAAGGTGGAAATTGGAGAACATTTCAAACTGCTTTACACAGCGTGTAGTCAGAGTATGGAATAGTCTTCCTGATAACGTAGTGCAAGCTGAATCCTTGGGTTCCTTTAAATCAGAGCTAGATAAGATTTTAACAACTCTGAGCTATTAGTTAAGTTCTCCCCAAGCGAGCTCGATGGGCCGAATGGCCTCCTCTCGTTTGTATAGTTCTTATGTTCTTATAATGCATTATTATTGTTGATATAATAATCAACGATGTTCTGTACTGCATTATGAAGGTATCAATAGTGCAATATAGATGAGAGCTTTACTGGAACTTCTGAAGTATTATAATCTATGCTATAATGCCTTATGACTGTCAATAGAAGATGCTGCAATGCTTTATTAATTCTTATACTGACCATTATAATACATTATGAAGGTATCTATAATGCATTATAGATGACAGCTTCAAGTGAAGTGTTACTGAAATAAATATGTTATTAGGTGGCATATGTGCAATTTGCACAACAAATGTCTGATGCTATCGGTTTTAAAAATGACATGGCATCCTGACGTGTGTTATACCTGGGGGTGGGGGCTGGCACATCTGAAGGAGATACTGTACTGCCTGATGACAGGCAGAAAGGATCCTCAGAAGTGCTTTTTAAAACACTGAGGTAGAAAGAGCTGCTGGCTAATGATGCTTCCAGAGAGCGCCCCACGGAGGGGGAGGGTAGAACTGGTCATGGAGTTAATGCTCAGGATGCATTCCTGGGATACCAGAACTTCCATCCTGAATTAAATAATGCAACTATTTACACATGTGCCCCTTAAAGCAGTATTTCCCAACCCCCTCAGACACCCCCGCGGTTTTGCTGCCTCCCAGCTCCCTGTGGACCGCATGGAGATCCCCGAGGACCACATTGGGAAACACTGCCTAAAAGTACTTTTTTCAAACCTGAAAGAAGAGTTAAATATTCATTTTCAGATACATTGTTTGCCTGTAATTACTGAGAATAAAATGACCTTTTCTTTCTGCCTTTTCTCAATTTCTTCTTGCTTTTTCTTCAGAAGCCACTCCTTGTACTTTTTTTCTGCCTTTTCTTCAGATTCTCTCTTTCTCTGATCTTGGGCGTAATGTTCTTCTAACTCTTTGATTTTTTCCAGATGTTTTTCCATCCTTTCCTAAGGAAAAAATTAAGTTAAACTTGGCACTGTACAATCAGATACTGTCCAGTAGTTTTCAATGGCAACAGGTAACAATAAAAATGACACACAACAATTACTGTACGATTCTATGCATATTAAATAAAGCCACTGGTTCAAAGCCAGTAACGAGAAGTGACACTGGCCCAGTGTGACATTTTCTCAGGACACACGAAAATGTAGCTGCTTTCAACCTCATGTTTAAATACAGCAGGAGCTCAGGGGTTTTGTTTTTCTCAAGCGGAAATCACCTGTTCCTGTTTCATTTGCAGCCAGTCATGGATCTTCTCCTCTGCTGCCATCCTCTTCCTCTCTTGTTCCCTCTGCTGCTGTGCCTGTGCCTCTTTCAGGACAGTGTCCTGAGGAAAAGATGGCCGCACAACGACAGGGGTTCAGACGGGTAGTAGAACCATTTTGATTACGGTAGTCTTTACCAGAATAACTTCATGATGCCTATCTCAGTATTTCAATCGCCCTACAAGTCCACAACGTTTAATCACTGATTTCAATTAAGTTTATACTTCTGCCTACTCCTTTTTAAGCAAGAAAATCGAAAGGTGTGATATTATGATGGAGAATGTGGAAATGTTTTTATTTGTTTGTTTGAAATAAAATAAATCATGAATTATGATTTATCATTCACTACAAAAATTATGCAAGCTGCACCTCATGTTACTGCCCTGTATTTGACTCTCCCTGCCAGCCCCTGGAGGATGGGCTCCCACTTTGAGTCTGGTCCCTCCCAAGGTTTCTTCCTTCTAGGGAGTATTTCCTTGCCACTGTCGCCTATGGCTTACTCACTGGGGGCTTTGGGTGGGGATGCTGTAAAGCGCTTTGAGATGATATAATGTTGTGATAATGCGCTATACAAAAATAAATTTGTTGTTTGTTGTTGTTACTGCAGTGTTTATCACTTATGCATACTTGCTGTTTTTTTAGAATTTCAATTTTGCTTTATCTAAAAATATAGCAATTGATTAAAACTATGGAAAATCATCAACTAACATATTCCATGCAATTTATTTAATAACTGAATCAAGCAAAATAATTTCCTCAACTGAACGAAAATCCACACTACAGGGTGAAACAGTGGGACCAGAAGAAGCCCGAGTTTGCAGGAATGTGAAACTGGCAAATCATATCATGTGATCATCGATAAGTGGATACAATGTCATACACAAAAGCAGAACCCAGTTTGGCCCTTAACTTATCACCACATACTTCTATAGTTTTCCTTTCTACCCTCAGTCGGTCCTGCCTGGCTTTACAAATGAGCCACTTCTCCCAAGCACTAAGAGCTTGTCCAGAGGATGGGGGATGCTCTGCCGTATCCTTTGTCTTGGTTGTTAGTTGTTTCCCACTGAAAAGAAAAAAACAAAGGGAGGACAAAATGACCGCTTTCCATACGCACATCTGGGGGGTGACAAAGGCCAGCCGCGGCCACGCTAAACTGACACCTGCGTATTCGCATTTTTATGGCATTTTTTTCATGCCAAGAATTACGGAACTTTTCTCTATAGCAGTAAGACACCTGGGGTCCACTGCCTGAATTATAAACAATGTAGAGTTATAGCGTTTAGGTACCTTAAATATTCCCTTATATCTAGATTTATGTGCCCCCCCCCAATATGACCTCTGGTCCCACCAGAGTTTCAGTGGTGGAGCCAGAAAATTTTCACTGGGGTAGCCACCCCAGTGAAAATTTTCTGGCTCCACCATTGCCACTTTCACATGATACACTGGAAAAATTATATTGATGATGCATAAAATATTACAGAAAATATGCATTGTGTATTATAGGAACTATTCATTATACTATGGTCTTACAAACACCGGGAATTATGGAGACTTGACAAAACCGATAAATTAACTTAAAAGTATTTTTCCGTTGGTAACTCGAGTTTGAACAATGCAAGTTTAAATTGTGAAACAGAAATTAAATTATTAATTAGTTCAACTGGAATGCACTTTTTTTACGTACCAAAAAGCGTTCGCAATGCAAGTGTAATGTTACTTAAAAGTGACTAAGTACCGTCTCCAAACTGCAGAAAATATCGTCAGTATACTATCCTCCCTCCCAATTCCAGCCTAAAGAGGAAATTAAATTGTACCGTGAGCTGTCATTGTTGCTCTCCTTGTAGCCACTCGAAGGTACAAGCTTCACCAGGTCTTCTGGGTCACTCTCAAAGCTGTCATGGTAGATGGGAGAGAGTAAGGAGTATGTAGATTCTCCTGTGGAATCGTAGTCCATGCTCTTTGATTTGGTTCGATTTTTGTCCCGCTCATAACTTTTGCCAAGAGTTGAACTAGAATCTCCGGACTTGGGATGGGATGACATTGTGGTTCTGGAAATAGAAAAAGGAGGAGAAAGTCATACTGTATATACATCAATATTGCCGACGTCTTTGCTGAGATTAATTCTGAATAACATTCCATATTAACTACGCTCAGAACGTATTTCCCCAAATTGTCTTATATGGAATTGATTAAGATTCACTGAACACGTAACTTATTTAAACTGATCTGTAACTTACCTTCTTTCTTCCCCGTTGCTTACAGTTTGAAATGGCGACCCGAATGGTGATATTTCCCGTCATGCCCCACACTTTGTTGTTAAATATCAGCCAATGGACGAGGAGTAATGAGTTCCTGGCGTCGGTGTAACTATGGCGACGTAGCAAGATGGAAAATCACTGTTGTGTCATAAGACAGCTAAAAAATTGAATACAGTATGCGAGTTAAATGCGTGAGTGACCATGAAGTTTATTTTAGAAAATGATTCGATGTAGATCTTGTTGTCCTGCAGAGTTCCAGACTGCGGTCAAGCTATCCGCGCTTCGCCGAAACACGGTCAAATCATCCGCGCTTAAAATGTGAGGTGCACGCATAGACAAGACATTACGGTATCAGCCGTACCTTACGGTATCAGCCGTACATTACGGTTTAGGAAAATAACAGACTCCAAGCAATCGCCCATAGGAAAAGGGTATGTATAAAGTACAGGATATACTTAAATGCAATTAATGCAATAAATGTCTTACTTTCTCATAATGTATGAACAAGTCATATGGCATCTGAAAGGCAATGTTCAAGGCTATTTCCTAAACAAATATGGTCATAGTTAATATACCACTTAAAAGAATGCACTTTGAAATCCATATAATTTTATGTTATGAACCAGGTTTCTCAGGATTATCCCATAAGGTACAAACATATCTGGTACCCCCTGAAAGGCAAGGGCCTACACTATATCTCCACCAAATTTGGGCAACTTTTACTGTAGAATTTTAAAGAAAATGCATTTTGAAATCTATGGTTTTACAGTATATGCATTTATATATAAGTGCCAAGTTTGGCAGGTCGTTTCTCAGGATTATCCCATATCTGGTACCATCTGAAAGGCAAGGGCCTACACTATATCTCCACCAAATTTGGGCAACTTTTACTGTACCATTTTAAAGAAAATCCACTTTGAAATCCATGGGTTTACAGTATATGCGTTGGCATATATGAGCCAGGTTCGACAACTCATTTCTCAGGATTATCCCAAAAGGTACAAACATATCTGGTACCTCCTGAAAGGCAAGGCCCTACTGTAATTTTACAATTAAACATAAAATATGTCATACAAAATTTTTTTTTAGTTCATTTAGATAAATTTGTAATTATTGCAATGGCTATTCATATTCGTGCTAGTTTTTTAATTCCTATTTCTATTTTTCATTTTATTTTAAATGAAACTAAAAAAAGTTTTCAAGTTGCTCTATGAGATGTACAAGGTAAATAGCGCTTTCTACTGTAGCTTGAATAGCGACTTTCTGGACTAAACCATTTAAACATTATATACAGTAGGTCTGAACATGTGTGTGAACAGATCAGAGTAAATCATTAAAATATGTTATATATTTTGATAAACAAAAAATGCTTTAAAATTCATATTAACTCAGAAGAAACTTAAATGTTTACGAGGTGTATTATTGATTATTGTTAAAATAACACTTTGTATACAGTCTGCCCCTCCCTCACAGGAATGCATATTGACTGTCCAAGGTGTTACGCTTAAAAAAACTAAGTAGAAAAAAGTAATAGCGTTGACAACTTTGCTCAAGTTCAAAACATTTGGCAAGGTAAGATGGTACTGTTCCGTTGCTGTTGCTAATAAGGCCCATGTTGTGTTGTGCAATTTGTGTTAAATTTTATTCTATTTTCCAGAGGAAAAAATTATGTAACTGTTAAAAATGACGTTTCTTTAATTACAGGAGAGGAAAATAAGAATTACTTCTGAAACCGTCAAAAAAACAATTACTTCAGCAGTCCAGTCCAGCAGGCACTGAACAGGGTACGTTTACGAAAGATGGCTTCTGGTCAAAACTGTGCGAGAAGCTGGAGGTTCCAAACACTGTGGCTAACCAAAAAAGGTTGAAGAATGCACACCTACAGTTATTAAAGGTAAAAAAAATATATATTATTGTTTCATCAATAGTTTATAACTACAGTTCTGCTTGAGTTTTAAGTGACAAAAATGATTTCAACTCTGAATCCAGAGCTTACATATTTTAAAAAATGATATGTTTGTAAATTGATAATCAAAATGACATTCTGCATTAAAGCACTAATAGAAAAAACACTATTTAAATGCAGAATGGAGAATCTGGACTCAGAGAGGAACAAGTTGCAGGGGCCAGTTCTAGTGACCATGTTCTGAAAAAGTAAGTGATGCATGTATTTATTGTATTGGGATAGCATTATAGACTCATCCAATTGAACATATCTGTACACATACTCCTTATTACAGGCAAACACCCATATCATCTCAAGCACAATCATTGTTTTGAAATAAATAATTAAATTGGCATAACAATTCCAAAAATCCCTTTCTTTTAATCCCTCTGCATGGAAGTTTTAGTGTAACAAGTTGTATATAGTCATTGCATACAGTATACAATTATAATGTTTTATACAATAAATATGATTGCATTACATTATATGACATTATACATTATGTCTTTATAAAGATAATTTTAGCAAAGTAGTTCACTCAAAGGTGGAGCTTCAAACATAGTCATTGTGTTCAAATGAGCACTTTTCCTTTATTTTTAAAAGGATATAAAATACAGCAAAATTCTTATTATATTTATACTTATTATTCAAGTTTAAATGAGAATACTGGTATTTTAATTTGCTTTCAAGACAGAAATGTGTCATATTCAATTATCTCTTACTAATCTGCCTATACAGGTAAAAATAGAGGAGCCTGTGCAAGAAGTGTTGGTGTCAGATATCAATTTCCGAGAGATTTGCCCAGAGGTAGTGAGTCACATATTCATAAATTTCTCATAATGTCACAAATCGTACAGCTTGCTTTGCTGGACGGATTGATATATCATTTGTATCTGTTGTCCAAAAAAAAACTTTATTATTATGGGCCTATTCATGTCAATGAAAGGCCCATATTACTCTTCACCTAGTAAACTACATTTTTCCAACTTGCGCTGAGCCCGTGAAAGGCACGGAGCTCAATTTGGTGCCAAATCGTAGGGCTTGCTTAGTTGGACGGATTGACATATCGTTTGTCTCCGTACCCCTTACGGATTGCGTGCAATTGCTTCTCAAAGTCGAAAAAAAACTTTATTATTATGGGCCTATTCATGTCAATGAAAGGCCCATATTACTCTTCACCTAGTAAACTACTTTTTCCAAATTTGCGCTCAGCCTGTGAAATGGAGGGAGCTCATTTTGGTGCCACGTCGAAGAGACCAATTGGTATATCGTTTGTCTCGGTGCACCTTACGCATTGCATGCAATCCCTTCTCAAATTCGAAATAAAAACTTTATTATTATTATGGGCCTGTTCATGTCAATGAAAGGCCCATATTACTCTTCACTATGGTGGCCCCTAGAGACAAAACACAAACAAAAGAAAAAGCAGAAACAAAATGAAAATGCGCTTCAAATTAAAAAAACGCATACAAAAGAAAAAGCAGAAACAAAATGTAAATGCGCTGCAAATTAAAAAACGCAAACAAAAGAAAAAGCAGAAATAAAATGAAAATGCGCTGCAAATTAAAAAACGCAAACAAAAGAAAAAGCAGAAATAAAATGAAAAAGCGCTGCAAATTAAAAAAACGCAAACAAAAGAAAAAGCAGAAACAAAATTAAAATGCGCTGCAAATTAAAAAAACGCATACAAAAGAAAAAGCAGAAACAAAATGAAAATGCGCTGCAAGTAGACGATCCCAAACCGGAAGTGCTCCACGACGCTAGGGGGTGCGGTGAGCTCAGGTTGCAAAAGCAACAGGCTACAGCATAGTCGTTGCGAACAACCTCGAGTTGGACACTGTTGTGCATGTTTTCCTTGTGACCCATAAGCTCAAAAAAGGTAAGGTTGGAAAAGAACAACACTCTAAGGGGAAGGTAATTAACCAAAATATTTTTGTTTGGTTGATTTTGTAAGGCGTGTTTGTGAATATTACACATAACATCAAAGTATTAATTAGCCAGATCTGAGTAAGCCCTATTGGTTAGCATTCGTAAGTAGCCCCGCTCGGGATTAACCAACTTTAATTTAAATGCTTGGTTAATGGCGGAGGGTGCAAATGCGACTCTTACGACTTTCAGGTGAGCTAGAGAGAAGTGTTTTAAAACGACAAATGTTAAGAGGTGAGGGTAAAATGCGGACCGTTTACAAACAACGGATTCCGTGTTTATAAACAGACGTGTGGCAAATGACGCACGCCGCGTGGACAGATCACGTGGCATAGAAAGAAACCCATACGACGTTACCTAATCACGGGAGAAGGGTCCAGCGAGAAGGGTCTGGCTGCAGACACTGTGGAGCTCCACAGTAGGCGGAACACGTGGAGCTCCACAGTAAGCGGAAACACGTGACTTCAAATTTGAACACAGTTACGTCGCACGAGAAATGTTTTTGTGTTGTATCCCGTATTGCAATATATTGGAATAAAAGGTTTAAAAAATATAGGATGTACTTAAAATAGACAAATTAATAACAATTGACTTTGACAGCGAAAACTAAATTGCGTTTTTGTTACTGTTGATGATGCTGAGAAATAAACATGGTTCTAATTAAGTGTTTTTAATTCGTAAAATGTATAAAAAATATTATTGATTACAAGCTAATACATTACTGTTAATAGCAACTAAGCTTTTTAATGTTACAAGTATAAACAATGCTGTTACATTTGCACTGTAATCTTTTATTTTAAATTCTAGTAGTATAATTTCCCCATGGGGATCAATAAAGTTCAACTATAAGTATGAACATGGAAACAAGTGAACAAAATTTTGAAATAAGTTTAATTGTAATTTTTTATTTACATTGAAAAAAACAACACATTAAAAAAAACAAACAGCCAGTGCCTTCCTCCGTCCATTATTTTTCAAACATAGCATTGACCTTTAGCCCCTGCTCGTCAACACATGCCTGTAGAAAGAGCTCCATGTCCTCCGCACACTGAAAAACAAAGATGAAGAAGTCCCTTGCTTCAGTGTCTTCTTCCTCCAGCATCTCTCTTAAGACCCTCTGCTGGTCCTCTTTATTTAAGGACAGATATTTTGGCATGGTTACGTGTTCATGGAAAAGCGCCTTATTTTGGACAACCCACTGCACAGCAGTATGCAGATCTTGAACAACTGCTGGCTCCTGTGTCAAGCAAATGGGGATAAAAACTTAGATATTCTCTGAAGCAGAACGGTTATTTTAACAGTGAGTCAAGTCACTAACCATTTAATTACACTAATGTTTAAAGTGAATACTGACCTGACTGACTTCCGGTAACTTGCGCTTTTTCAGTCTGAAAATGGGCACATGTTGTCCTTGAAGCACAACTTTGGTGTCCTCTCTCCAGTGTGCAAAAAGCTTGCCATAGCTTAACAGAAAATTTTGATATTGTTAATGTGTCTAAACCTTGAGACAATATAGCACAGAAGCCAAAATATAAATACCTCCTGAGATCAAAGTTCTCCATCAACAGCAAGCACCACCATTTCCGCAAGTAGGGCATGTCTGACTGTAAAATATCAATATGAAACATGTTTAACAACTTTCAAAAGATTCAAGACTCCATTGCTCTCAAATGAAATAGGATACTTACTATAGTATAATCAAATGGTGCATCCAGTGCCACGTAGAGAGCAGACTGTTTGGGACAAAAAATAAAAATTACATTGTTTTGGAGCTTAATTTAACTTTTGTATGAATCTCAAGGAAAACTGAATAACAGAAAAATAACCATTTTCATGAAGATCCCACAGTCAATTCCAAAGTCTTGGCTCGAAAAACCCTTTTACAGAGAAAATAAAGGTTCATTAATAAAATCCCTTAAAAGACGACTAGCGTAATTCATGTAATTCACCATACACTCACACCATTACATACCTTCAAGTGAAAGCTATTTTTTTCTGACCACTGCCCTGGAATGATCTTCACTGCAAGATTCCTTTTTCCAAGACAATTACATTCACAAGTTAACAGACATCATCATGATGGGTGTGAAATGCTATTTGCTAATAGCACCAACTTTAAGTACAAGCCTTAGGAACACGGCCTTAGGAACATGGCCTTAGGAACACGGCCTGGACACAACAAAATGTAAAAGTACAGTCACATGCTCCCAGTTGGTTAAAGTGTGTCATACATAGCAATTTCAGTTTTATTTTCAGGTTGGCATAATTTATAAACTGATTTTTAATGGTGCTTTATGTTAAACACTAGATTTTGAAAACCCTATTAATGTGTGAAACTCTCATCTAAAGACAGCATCGTTGATCTGTACACCATGTGGCACTGAGGACACAANCATCTTTATTATTCAAGCAGTAACATTCAGTCCTCTTATTTCTGCTTTACAATATTCAATCCCGTTATTTTTGCTGTTTCAAATACGCTGCCACAATTTCAGTTTAAAATACGGTCCGAAATTCAACCCTCTACTTATACGGGACTGACAGGATGAGCGATAGACTGCCGATACATTTCCTCTTCCGTAGAGTTATCTACGATAACTTATTGCGCCCCCAACTAATAGGTTTTTATGTAAGTAATTCGCTAGCTGCATTAATTATCACCAAACTTATCTTGCTAGGGCAACTACAAGGTTTATACACCAAGAGTTTTAATCAGCGTGATAAATTTATGATAACGACAGTCAGTTATGAAAGCGGCTGGCAACAGGTATAATGGTAAGGGCGCCAGCAGCTGACTCATACCTTGATGGAATTTGTATAGATAGTGCTAGGGCTGGGCGATATCATATCGATATTATATCGCGCATGCACAATAATCATTAGGGTTTCAGATGACAGGAGCAACATTTGGCAGTGCGCCAGCTTTTCTGTGCTATACGGACATTTATTTACGCCCACAATTTAAGCAGCTTAGTATGGCTAAATTCGCGGACAGGGAGGCGTAAAAAGAATTTCCCCATGGGGATTAATAGAAGTGTCAATTTATTATTATTAATGAGGCTTTGTATCAAAGAATGTGAGCGGAGTGGAGCAGTGAGAATTTCCGCTCCTCGCTCACGAGGCTGTTGGCTCCGCCCGCTTCCCCGCTCTAATTCGCACTAAGCCGCTCCGCTCAACACCGCTCCTCACTCCACTAAAATTTCCTCCCGCTCCAGTCAAATCGCTCCACGCCCGCTCCAATTTAAAAGAGGGACAAATAATCTGCATGCCTAACAAATGTCACCTTAAACCGAAGCCTTGTATCATAAAGAAATATGAGCAACGGCAACACTGTCAATAAGAAAATATTTATTTTTAAGCATCAGAGATTGTGAGTAGGTGTCAATAACTGTTAATTGCTTAACGTTACTTAAGTTTCCGTCAGTGAAAGGAAAGCGACGTTGTTGGCTATCTTAAAACTAATTTAGACTAACATAATGCTGCTGTCATAACTAGTTATTGTGATCAAAAACTTAATGATGTGTCCCTGTTTTTGCCCTATTCAACACCATGCATGGTTAAAAGTTTAAACAAAGGCAGTACCCTGTCATGCTATGCAAATATATATCAGCACTATTGGTCTTCAAGACCTGCCAGACTTTTGACTGACATTTTACAATAGATTTTTTTTTTTACAGTGTACGCGAACAGGCGGAAGCAAGCAAAACGTGAGCAAGTTTTATATGGTTGTAGCATATCAAGTCTATAAAGTAAATTAAAGTATAAAAGCCTATAAAGTAAATATTGGTAATCAAATAAATTCGTTTTGTCATTCAAAGTAGGTCTAATAGGATTTTTTTTATTTCACGTAACGCTGTCAGTTAAATTTTATTTTATAGAGACGCAGCAGCATCAACAGAAAAAATTGAGGAATTTAAAACGTGGATGCTTAGCCTGTATATTCTTTAGGCTATTAAGCCCACTGATTCCTT